TGCTACTACTGCTACTACTACTGCCACCACTGCTACTACTGCTACTGCGCCACTGCGGCTACTGCTACTACTACTTCTACTACTGCTACTAGTAAGCCAGTCATTTTGGAAGACTTTAGGGTAGAGCTTGTGCAGCTGCCATGGTCTTTACTGCAGGGGACTTTGAGTAGCAACAGTGATCGTCTACCAGGCATACTGCAACTCTGCCAGATCAACACCACACTTCTTCACAAGTGGCGGCTTTGCGGGCGAAGGCTCAAACTTGCGACCTCTTCAGCTGTGGGGAATCAAACATTAGACTGCAGCAATCAATCCTGATATCACAGGTTTAGCACCCCGTAGAGCACGTTTCGGCTGAGCTTGTTCGGATCAAAGGGTCGCAAAAAGCCGGGTCTCCGCATGTCAGAGCTGACGGTGTCGAGACATGGCAGCAAACCCCAGCGTGCCAAAACAGTCACTAGCAACCAAGTTGCCCCTTGGCAAATGTACTGCCACTTCCCTCAATGATGTTGACAAACAAAGAAGCACACTCGTCACATGCGTTCAGCAGCTTTCAAGAAGCCCTCGTCTCCTCTTCTTCTTTTTCAGGCCCTGCACAAGGGGAAGGTCCTGAAAATGCTCAGGATGGGCTTCGGAGCTTCGGGGCTGCCGACTTCGTGGCACATTCATCTTCGGCAGACCCCACATGTGTCAGAAGAGTCTGATAGGGGAAGGGGTAGGTTCTGCACGGCCATGGACGGCTGAAGTAGGCCCTAAACCCTAAACCTAAACCCTAAATCAGTGCTTCTGTGTCCTCCTTTGTGATCTCAGCTTCGGAGCCCATCTCACTTAGCGATTCCTGAGCACAGCTGCTGGTTTGATCTGCGTTTCCCACTGAGCTCCTTTGGTATTTCTCTTTTTCGGTATCGGTGCTTTTAACGATACACCCTTTTTTGGTTCGTTTTGGACGTGCGATCGCTGGAATGAGAACAGATCCTGCGCTCCTCTCACTCCTTCTCCAGTTGCAACAGGTTGTGGAGGCATTTAGAGTAGCATGCTGAGGCAAGCAGGTCAAAAGATGTCGGCGCCTTCTATCGTCTTGTACATGGCGCTGCTCTGCAAGGCGGCTGCAACTGCCTGAAAGCACTAGGGTCACTAGGGCCCTGGCCCCAGAGGGATCCACCTGCGCTGGCGGGGTTCAGAGGTGTTCCGGCCCCAGTCCATTCTGATTAGGTCTATACGTCTTGTGGACCGGTATCTCTGGACGTTAACTCTCAACTCACAAAAACTTTTCGCGTGCGCCCTCCTTGCAGCTCGCCTCGCTCATGGTCTCCCCTGCGGTCTCGATCTCACTCATCGAGTCCTTGGCGGTTTGAGGGAGAGAAATGGGGTCGGCTCGCGGTAGCGAACGACCGGGAAGTTGCTTTTTCGTTCCACGCTTTGTTGTTCGATGCAAGGCAAGCCGTCAAGTCGCGAAGTGCAGCTTCTGATGAAGAGGTTCAGGTTCACGTTCCGTAGGGAAACTCGTGCACCAGTCCACAACGGGCTTCCATCCGAAAACAGGAGTCTCACAAACCTAAGTCCGAAGATTGCGCGAGCTATTCAGCATCTTGCTGCCGGGTCGCACGAGTGCTCAGTGTCTCCCCAGCATCGGAGATGATCTGCGCAAAGGGCTCCCCTAAACCCTAAACCCTAAACCCTAAACCCTAAACCCGAAACCCTACTCGGAATTCATTGGCCAGTTGAATCGCTTCCACAGGAGCAGGAGCCCATGCAAGGCTTCCCACGCCCTCAAAGCCAAGGTCTTGTGGGTATTTCAGGTCTCTTGCTACGTCCCATTCCAACAGAACCCTCCGGCCGCCCTACTTGAGGTTCAGAAGGTCTTGTCATATTTGGAAGAAGTTCAGAGAACCAGGATCACTCGGGAAGAAAATCTCTGTCGAGTCCCCACTTTGGCTTCTTTGCGGGGGGGGGGGGGGAGAGAAATTCTTCTTCCCCCCCCCTCCCCCCCGCCCCAGAGAAAAAGCTCTCCCCAGCCAAGAGCCGCGTGGGATAGTGCTCCTTTCTCGCAACCCTGCGCGTTTCCTACAGGATGAAAGAACATCCAAGGCCAAGAGGTGCAAAAAGGGTTTTGCTTTCTGGCTTTTCGTTGAAAGTCCCCAGCGGTGCGAGAGATCACCGTTCACTCTGCTCGCACTACTGTGAAGTGAAAGGAGTGAAGGCAGTCTCGGCAGAGATGAGATAAGTGTGTCCCCAAAGTGGACGGCGTGCGGAGGAGGCGCTCGTTAATGACCAAAGAAGGGAAGAAGGGTGACGAAGTCAACATGCAGCTCATCTGTATTGCATCTATACCTGCATGCCTGAACCTCATTGTCGCAGGGCGCACCTCACTGCCGGTGATTTCCGAGTCGCTGATGCCACTAGCACCTGCAAGTGGCTGGGTAGCAGTGGCAATATCTTTCAAGCCGAAGTTGGACCAATAACTGCACGAGATGACGAATCCACGGCGCCACTCCCACGCCGCCTTCATCCTTAGAGCCCCCCCACCCCCCCCAAATAAGCAAAACTAAACCGTAGAACTGATACTCCTCCCACATGCAAGAGAACTAATCTAGCAAAGTCGGCAAACGGAAAGGAATTGAAGTGGTCTCAGGCAGAGAGAGTCTTGGGGAATTGTAGCATTCCACCGAAACTAAACAACGTCCTGCCTACCTCCCCGACAAAAGGCACCCCTGAGACCCTGAATCTTTCAAGCAGATTCCCAATCTCATATGCAGTTCAAGAACCGGTCCGCGGGGAGGGTCTTCTTAGTGAACTATAAATAGTACATGTATACGTATGAGTACAAACTAACTGATGTCCCGGCACTGGGATCGTCCCGATTATTGAAACCCCTGTGCCTGTGTCCGATGCGGCAGAACTTGCATTCTGCTCCCGCCACCTCAGAAGAACATGCCGGTGGGATGGGATCGATCCATCGACCCTGGAATTCCCAGGACTGAGTACATGTGATAAAGTACGTGTCAAGGGTATGCATCGGTACCAGTCAGATGCCGGCAGGGCTAGGATGTAAAGAGGCCAACCCCAAGATTTTCGTCGTCATGATTTATGATGAATATCCGTGCATTTGGGAGGCTCCTGACATTAGGGTCATGTTCGGGTGCCCAGTACAATACGGAGCTTTATATGTAGGCTACCCCAAGACTGACCAAAACTCGGAGAGCCCCCGAATCACTCACACACACGCACAGCTTATGTTGGATTGATATTGCAGTATGGAACTATAACTGCAATGACTGCGACTATTCCAATTATTGCTGCTTTAACTGCCTTACAATTCTTCCTACTCTTGGTATTTGGAACACACCAATGCTAAGGGAGGTTAGGTTTGAGCGACCGACTGTCTTGCACAGTGGCTTTCGGGGGGCCCGGGGGGGGGGGGGGACAATCCCAAGTTCGCAGAACCCAAAAGTCACGATACTCCCCCGTAGGGCCACAGAGAATACGACTCACACAACTTGTCGTGGCTTTCAAATCCCATAATCTCGCAAGCCCAGGCACTTTTTGAGGTTCACAGGCGCCCCTGGCGGGGCGGCCCTGCAGACAGACCGGTTTGACACTACGTAGTTCTTGCTATCATCTTCGTAAGCGCAAGTATGCACGAGCTGTGGGCTGGTATTCGGTGGACAGGTGATGCCCGTGTGCCTGTGTGGCAGGCACTGTGGTAATGCGTTTTTGCCAACGCCAACGGATGATGGCTCTTGCTCTTGTGATCGTGTGTCCCGATCCACAAAACCAGCGTGAGCATGAGCTGGAAGCTATGCTGCAGGTAAAGTTCAAGCAGCAGCAGGCTACAGAAGGCCCCATGGTCATGTCAAATAATCAGCCTGCTTGCTCCAACTCCTGAACCGCTGGGAGCTCTGAGCAAACTGACTACTATTTTGCAAAAGATGGATAAGTATTGAAAAAGTGCCACTCCCCCTGGCCTCCTCCAGACAGGGAGTGCAATGGAGTTTGTCGCCTTGCCATGGTGTTTTGGTCTGGCTCTTGAAATCCGACGGCAAATGGTCCCCGATGCAACCTCCTGGAGCCCCAAAAAAGCGGGAAACCACCTCAATAAGGGGGTCTCTGCCTAGCAAGGGTTTTGGGGTTTTGGGTTGGGATGCTCTCGTGCCCCCCACGATAATCCCTACTATGGAGTGTTAGTATAAGGGGGAAACATCCCAAGGTCAAGGGTTTTGTAACCTTTGCAAGTTTGGTCTCCTGCATGTCCCTGGACTGGTCAACAAAGCTTGCAGCTAGTACGGGGGCCCCCTGTTCAATGAACCCTACAGCTCGATCCTTCGATCCTTCACGACCGCCAGCAACAAAAACTATTTGTGCACAAGGCAAGAAGAGAAGCATAACACGCCCCCAGAGCCCCGAAAAGAGAGCCTTTTATATTTGAAGTGTGGGAAGATTATTGCAAAGCTCTTGTGCCAAAGTCGGGAGAAGGGTCTTTTTTGACTTTGGAGCAAGGAGGCCTGGATCGTGATCGCTTGGAGGAGCAGCTCGCGCCTCTTCACGGCGTGAGGAAAAAAGGGGGCTGTGGGGTGCCCGGAAGTGCCATTAGCCCATAATTGCGCCTCCCGAGCAGCTTGATGGATGCCGCCTGGTTGCGGCTTCGCGTGGTGGCAATTTTCTAGGGGGGACACTGCTCACTCTGCACTTCAACCTAGCAATCCAGAATTGCCACAATGCTGCTTCAAATGTGGCCATGGTCTGCATTCTGGAAGTCTCGCTGCAGGCATCCGGCTCAACCCCACTTATGCCTTGGAACCTGTATGCAAGAGTGCTGGAGTAACTGTCGCAGAGATTGCTGTGGGATGAGATGAGCAAAAGAACAGAAGTGATTTGGAAGGTTCATGCAAGCCGTGGGCTGCTTGATGCTTGCAAGCATATGTAGGAGTAGCTAGTTCTGCCGCTACCTACACCCAGATAAAAACCTCCTCAAGTGGAATTGCAAGGTCGCTCTTGGACTCTCAGCGCCCGGCAATCACGGCCGAGGCATTGGCAAAGAGTTGCTCCTCAGGGGCGTTTCCATCGTTTTGAGGTGCCTGCCTTCACCCTACATCCCAACCCCCTGCCAAGCCCGGCAAACACTGACTCAGATTTCCGGAAGAGCATCTCCCTCAACCCTCAACCCCAACCCTCAACCCTCAACCCTCAACCCTCAACCCTCAACCCTCAACCCTCAACCCTCAACCCTCAACCCTCAACCCTAAACCCTAAACCCAGCCCCCCACGTGAAATCCCCCCACCTCTGTCATCGAGCAGCGCCCGAAGCGGATGCCCACACAGCGGCCCTGGACGACACGGAACTTGGTTCCGGTCATGGCCTCCCAATGAGAACTCACCAGTGGGGCTCTATGTACGAGTCTGATGGGCTGTTCGGAAGTTTTAATAGGGAGCTGTTTAGGGTTCTTTAGGAAGTTTCTTGGGAAGTTTAGGGTTTTTGGGGTTGTATAACAGATGCGGGGGGGGAGGGGGGGGGAGGGAACTTTAGGTGGAGTGCCCTGACATTCCTGAGCGTGTATCAAGGCGCTCGACCACACTTTGAAACCGTCGTTGAGGTGATCCGAGTCTTCAACACTTCTTCAACACGCGGAACTGAGACAAAGCTCCCTTGCAGCCTGTGTAGTAGCTCTAGCTCCATAGAACCCAGAGGTGCAGAGCACTTAAAAGGCAGCAGCGGTTAGAGACATCTTTGGAAACAGAACGAGCAAAAGATATGTTTCCTCTGTGCAATTGCTGCCGATGATGTACGGGGAGAGGAATCTCGTAGAGCAGCTGAAAGCGGTTTTGTAGATGCAGGCTTAAGTTGATGAGATTCGTGAATTGCGGTTGATGCTGCGGGCGTACTTGCTGCATGGGTCTTCCCTGTGTGGTTGCACGGTGCACCCTGATTGCTAATTCCGAGGGCTGTTCCCCTGGTCAACATAACAGCAGATCGGGAGACAGTCCAGGGCAGCGCAGGGCAGTGCAGGGCCTTGCGGACCTCCTGGGCCGGGTCCTCTCCGTTCTCCTTCCTCAGCTGCATCGGTTGGCAAAGGCTTGGGCGTGGTAGTTGGTACTCTGAGTCATCTGAGTCTGCTTTAAGGGGGGGGGTTTCTTGTTTGCCAGAAGTCAGAAAGCCCTCGCGGTGTGTGCAACTCTGAAACCTGTTAACTCAAACTGCTATCATGCTGGCGTGCCCGCTCTGCGGAAGGGATGCTTAGGTTGAAGACAGAAGTATCTGCCCATGCTTCAACTGTCCGAGATCTGCATGGGATGTTGCCAGCGCTTTTTTGTCTGGTGTGCTGCTTGACTTGCCACAAAAAGGCCATAGCAGAAGTGATCAACCGCTGATCCCAGTTCTTGCTCAGAAGGTGCGGGGGGGGGGGGGGGGGGTCTGGAGCATGCCCCATGTGCTTAAGAACCCCCCCAAAAAGGTAATAATCCCCATATTACCCTAAGGAAGACTATTGTGTATTTTTTGGGGGAGTTCCCAAGCAGTTCGTAGAGAGGTTGACCCAAGTGGCAGCTGGATGGGCACCGGGGCCTTCAGCTTCTGCTTGTAGAAGACATCTCAGCGCGACAGGACAGCGCGATCAAGCGCCCTACATCATCGGCTGCGGAGGAGTCCCGGAGGGGTGATGATGTGAGAGCAGAGGTTTCTCATGTCATGGGTTCCGGACTATGGCTTCAGGGTGCTGAGGCCCTATGGGTTTCAGCTCCTTTTTGGCTGCAGCTTTCCGGGGGCAGTTAAAGATTCGCTGTGCAAGGAAGGGTTCTCTTGTGCCTTTGCATACTGGAGTAGCGGCACACGGCTTGCAGGTTGGAAGTCTCAGGGGACGACTTCCCAAGATCTGGGGCATCATCTCGACGACCTGAGTTGGGCTTTCAAGAGGCAAATTGTTCTTATTTCCCCAACCCTAGACCCTAGACCCTCTAGACCCTAGACCCTATATAGACCCTAGACCCTAGACCCTAGACCCTAGACCCTAGACCCTAAACCCCAAACCCTAAACCCTAAACCCTAAACCCTAAACCCTGAACCCCTAAACCCTAAACCCTAAACCCTAAACCCTGAACCCCAAACTCCCTGAACCCTGAAACTGGGGGTGCGTTAGCCACTGCCATCTGTCTTATCACAGGTGGACGACGCATGTCAGGGGCTCCACGAGTCCAAAAGGGTGGTGGCAGCTTTTCTACAGGGTTTAGGATTTAGGGTTCAGGCTTTAGGGTCTAGGGTTTCAGGTTTAGGGTTTAGGGTTTGGGTTGTGGGTTGGGATTTAGGGTTTAGGGTTTAGGGTTTAGGGTTTAGGGTTTGGGGTTTAGGGTTTAGGGGGTTTAGGGTTAGGGTTGAAGTCTCCTGCTTGCGCAAACTTCATGGGTTCCCCTACTACCCCCCTCTATACTACCCTCCCTAGGTTCCCCCAGATTTAAAGCTCTTTAGGGACAATTAAGCCTAATTAAGGTTATCGCCTGCATGCGCGAACTTGCGCAAGCCCGTGCCCGACGCCCAACATGTTTCCGGAAGCCTCTGAGTATTGATATGTATTGATGCCCACTTCCCTTCCTTCAACCTTGTGTTTTTAGTTTTAAACTAACCCTCAGCACAGGGCCTGAAAACCTCAACTTACCCCCCCCCCCCTCGGAAAAAAAAGAAACGCAAACAAGAAATCAAAAATGACCATCAAAAAAACAGGTCTCCCCACACGCTTGTCGCAGAGGAAGAGGTCGAAGGCATCTGCCAGGGTTCGCTTCTGGGCCAGGTCTTTGTACTTCCTCGGTCTGTGTGCGCACTTGAGGGGTCGAACGCCAACACTACATTTTAGATACATGTATGTGTGTATGTGTGTATGTACTGTAATGTAATGGAATGTAATGTAATGTAACGTAATGTAACGTAATGTATATGTAAATATGTGTATATATATATATGTATTATAATGCCTACACTAGATTTGAGGCTCCAACCTTCGGAGCTTCTCCACTCCAATGACCTGCGCTGTCGGAACTCGGCTGGTGCACATCGCTTCTCACCACGAGGAGAGCCACGAATGAAGTGACCCCCCGCAAAAAAAATGAAAAAATTCAAAACACAAAAAAAGAAGACAAACATGCAGCTTCCACACTTCTCAAGTACCCAACTCCCTTTTTTTGTCAAACAGAGGCCTGGGGTTTATCGTGATTTGTAGGGGTTTCAGGGCTTCACGGACTCGCTACACATTGCGAAGCTTAATGCGGGTTCCAGGCCTTGGTCAGACCCGGAACTTTGTGCTTCTGCAACAGCAGCTCCTGCGGAGTGGAGGAGCTTCCATGGTGTTTCTAGGATGGCGCCTAAGCAACCCCTCCGAAAAACTACTGAAACCCAAGAAGGAGATATACAAGCAAAATATCCCATAGCCTTTATCTCTCCAGAGAGAGAGAGAGAGACGAGGGACAAAGGGGAGTCTCAAGATCTGAAGGCGAACGTGCAAAGCTTGGTGTTACCTGGTTGAATATTCTGAGTTGAGCCTTTGCTCTGTATTTCTGTTGTCAAGTTGTTGTGCTTGTTTTCCGCTAAACAATTACTACGATTGTTACCATGGCTGTTGCAAGGGGGTGTAGGGCTGCATCTAGTTCAGGTCTCAGAGCGAGTGCCAAGTCCGGGTAAGAGCGCACTAAATGGGATCCTCACTGCACGCTTTGCTGCGCTCAAGGGATTGGAAACCTGCAGGACTTGAGACGTCTACTTGAGTCAATGTGCTCTCTCTGTCGTTTTTTAACACTGCGCCGAGCGGAAGATGCCTCCTGGAACCGGTGAGACAAGTCGTTTCTTTCTCAGGGCTTCACACCTCCCGAAGCTTGCAACTCTCAGAAGTCGTCCCCGCAGCACCCTCCCCGCGCAGCCTCGGCGTGGGTGGTGGGCCCCATTTAGGAGTTCAGGCTTTGGGGCTTCAAGGCGCAGGGTTGTGGATACAGGGTTCCCCCGAAGACCTTCAGACTGAAAGGATGTAAACATACGTAAACATGCCAACAGATGACGACTGCGACGTTGTCGCTGCTGAGCCCGAATCCCTACCCCGTTCGAACATAGGTCATGCTTGGAGAGCCAAGAGGTAAGTAGGCTTTGGGCATTTAGGCTATTCAGGCTTTGAGCTTAGAGACTTCTAAGGCTATTTTTCTGGAGGGCGACGGTAGCCGGTCTGTTTTTTCCTTTTGAACGGCAGCAGAGCCTAAGAGTCTAGGAATTTCAGGCGCCGACCCCGGGTCGGAGTTTTCTCATCGGCGAGAGCCGTGTGACAGCGCTTACACTGTACTTTTTGACTGTAAGGTATCCCTTACGGTATAAAGGTTAACGGGCCCTGGTGATTCGGGACGAAGCTTCGCCCGCCCGAGCTTCGGGACGCATGTGGGCTAAGGATGGTTTTTGTTAAATGCAACACCGACATTACTTCAGGGCTCATCCCATCCACGCCTCCGACCCCAAGCAGCGCCGACAGTTGCGACCGGCCCAAGACTGAAAGTGGTTACATCGGGACTTGTACCACTTGTGTCTGCAAGGGTTATTTAAGTTATTTATGTGAGGTTCGTGAAAATTGGGACTGACCGTCGCAACTGCAATTTCTGCATTCGGCAATCCTACGTCCTTCGTGCCGCATGACGAAAGGAGTTGTTGGAGGCATCGCAGCGTATGCTCCAGACCGCACTTACCGATGGGCTCCCCTCAACAAAATGGAGCGACTTTAACTTTCAGCAAGGCTGCAAGGCTGCGCCTTCTCAACATCCGCGCTTCAAAAGAAAAGCCTCTCCCAAGAACCTCCCAAAAATGAAATCTTGGCTCGAGCCTGACACCTCAGCATTGCGCCTTACAAGAAAAAGCGGGTTTTGAACACTCCGTACGTCGTTCAAGTGTTTAAGCCGTTTCTCGCTCCAACTCCTGCACCGTGCATGTGCCGGCTCACGGCATAGCTCAGGGTGCGGAGTTCCCGCTGCTTCTCGACCGCTCCAAGGCCATCTCCTCAGCGCACAGTAATAATAACAATGAGAATGATAATAACAATGATAAGGATAATCATAGTAATAGTAATAGTAATAGTAATAGTAATAGTAATAGTACTAGTAATAGTCATAAGAATACTAAGAATAGTATAATAATGATAATGATGATAACAATAACATAGATGCAAAGTCTCTCAGAGGAGTCTCGCGAGCAGTGCAGCCGGGGCTCCACCAGTTCGCGGAACTGCTGCTCCGTGCCTGAAAACCTTGGCCCCGAGAAGCTTCCATCTTTCTGGCATTCTCGTCAGGATACCCTCTAAGCGGAGTGGCCGAGGCTTTAATGAAAGCAGGGACTGCTTCGTGCTGACTGTGCAAGCCAAATGGCATCTGGTAAAACGGCATCTCATCATCCCCCAAAAGCGATGCGCACCCCCCTCTCCCCCTCCCCAACCTGGTACCCTTCATCTTCTAAGGCTAATAAACCCTCAACCCTCAACCCTAAATCTGAAACCCTAAACCTTAAACCCTAAACCCGAATTCTAAACGGAAGGCCCCCAACACAGAAGGAGGCCATTTCTAAAGAAAAGGCAGCGCCAGGTGGCGCTTCGAAGTAGTGCTGGATCCCCCGCAGCACGTCGTCCCTTGGGCTCCGAAGGCTTTTGCGTTGGGTGTATGGAGTTTTGGGATTTAGGGATTGGGGTTTGGGGTTTAGGGTTTAGGGTTTGGGCATTGGGGTTTAGGGTTGGGGGTGCTCTGGGGGAGTTAGGGGTTTGGGGATCTTTTGAGCCGGTTTAAAATCGGAGAGCCCGTTGCGCGTCTGTCTCAAAGACCCTTTGCACTCGCATACGAGACCCCGCGACTCGGTCGTTGTAGCGCGTAGCGGGGGATTCCCATGACATAATAGGGGACCCCAAGTACGTATACACCCCCAAATCGTCAGCTCCCCTTATAATAATAAGGGCCCCAAAAAGGTCCCCGAATATCTCGTAAGCCCCCATACGACCTTGCGTGGAGCTTTCTAAAATACTCTGTGAATTCACACCGAGCGGCTCAGAAAGCTTGTCCTCAGACAGGGCGTCTGGGAAACCAGCTACCGGAGAGCTACGAGTTGGATGTGCGCGGTACAGCGCGTGGGGGTTATTCACTTTGGAGGGTTTCAGATGAAGGAGCCCTATTGCGCAAGGTGAGAGTTAGAAGAACGCCCGCAGACTCTGCTAAAGCCTTAAACCCTAAACCCTAAACCGGAGTGTTCAAGGTCCTTGTCCGCTTTGGGGGGTCTGCTTTCAAACGAGTCTAGCTATTGACATGCCTAGCACTCAAGAAATCCCACAATGCGAGCTGCCAATGGCCACGGCCTGAGTTCTGAAACCTGGTTCAAAAGCTAGGAAGCCCCTGTAGCCATCTTCTAACTGCCAAGGGTGCTCTTCTTTTGGTGCTGGTTTCCGAAGCCCTAAACCCTAAACCCTGAAACCCTGAAACCCTGAGCCCGAAACCCTGGAAATCCTAAACCCCGAACCAAAATCCAAAGAAGGGCCAATGGGGGCACCACTGGGCTTCCCGGAACAACCCAGCGCCAGGCTTCTGGAGGACGTTGCGGATCTCAGATTTAGGTGGGGGTTCGGGGTTTGTAGGGATGATCAGGGTCTGGAGGGAGAATTGAGCGCCAAATGAAGGAGACGCATGCGGGTACATATTGGGTTTGGCAGAGTTGTCGCGGAGAGTGTTCTGGGTCTGAACAGCGGACAAGGGGCATGTTCAACACGGGCGAGTGGAGGGGCTGACTCAGGATAGGATGGGGTTTGGCTGTGAGGAAGTAGCAAAGTGATCCTAGCGCAAGTTGAGCTCCATCTCAAGAAAGAAACACAAACAACCCCTAGGCCTACAGACCCCTCATCTCTTGCCGTAGGCCAGGCAGGTCCCTTCATCAACCCTGTTTTAAGCGAAGGGTACCCATACAGGACCATGTCTCGATCTCCACACAGGAGCCCAACATACTTTGGCCACCAGGGTTTAGGGTTTAGGGTTTAGGGTTGGGTTCGGCCGGTCCAGAATCCCAGTCAATTTTAGCATTTACCGGGTGCTTCTTTTTGTGGGTCTGCTGGTGGTGACTGTTAGTCACATAGCAGCAGAAATAGCACCAGAAATAGCACAAACAATAGCACAAAAAATAGCACCAGCAATAGCGCCAGGAATAGCACAAAAAATAGCACCAGAAATAGCACAAACAATAGCACCAGAAATAGCACCAGGAATCCCAGTCAATTTTAGCAGCTTAGCATTTACCGGGTGCTGTTTTTTGTGGGTCTGCTGATGGTGATTGTTAGTCACATAGCACCAGCAACAGCACCAGAAATAGCACCAGAAATAGCACAAACAATAGCACAAAAAATAGCACCAGAAATAGCACAAACAATAGCACAAAAAATAGCACCAGAAATAGCACCAGGAATAGCACAAAAAAATGCACCAGAAATAGCACCAGAAATAGCACCAGGAATAGCACCAGGAATAGCAGGAATCTCAGTCAATTTTTTGGCATTTACCGGGTGCTTTTATTTGTGGGTCTGCTGGTGGTGACTGTTTGTGTGGACCGGCCGAACCCAAGTTTAGGGTTTAGGGTTTAGGGTTTAGGGTTTAGGGTTTAGGGTTTAGGGCAGTCTTGAAGTGAACCATGTCGCAGCCAAGCTGCTGGAGAGGCTGAGCACATTCTTGAGCACTGTCTCCGAAACTCCTGCGCTTTTTGGCTCAGGCTACAGTGACTGTGCAGGGTGCCCACCCAACAACCCCAAACCCTAAACCCTAAACCCTAAGTCAGGCGGGTGATCCTCCTGTCCATACTCTCAGTCTGAAGCCCAAGCTCCTCAACGGTACTTGGCTCTTCTGCTGTTCCCCAATGTTCACGATGACTCAACCCCAAGCCCAAAAAAAACCCTAAACTCAAACTCTCGGAACCTCAAACACTTGAAGCTTGAGCCCTCAACCCTCCCTCCCCAAATCTGCAAGTCCCCATGATCCCGGAAGAACCTGGTCGTGGCTGCGCTGACTTCGGTGCCGCCCTTCCCGCGGTCTCATTGTCGGAGCTTGTGCCTGGTAAGGGTTTTGATCTTGTTTGGGGGCGGGGGGGGGGCGGGGCGGGTAGGTGCTTTCGGGTTTGGGAGGGTTTAGGGTTCTGCAGGCTTCCCCGGAGGCTTCCCCACCTATAAAGCACCCAGTCAAGCACCTGCACACACTCCCAAAGACACCACCAACTCAAGACTACTGAGTCCTAAACCCTGCAGCAAAAGCAACTTTTAGGGTTCAGAGTTAGGGTTAGAGTTCAAGGTTGAGGGCTTAAACGTTGAACATGCCCCTGAAGTTAGGAAATTGATGCTGTAGCATTGTCTGGAGTTGGGACAATCCTTATCAGAGGGGGTACTCTGTTGGGGATACTCCAGCTCCACCTGGGTGGGACACTCCTGTCAGATCCCGATAAGCCCACACAAACACCCGAGAACTTCCCTCTGAATCTCTCCGAAGTCCCCTTATTGCAGCCATGGGAGCGTGTGCTCGGAAGACCCGGTGGCCTTGAAAGCAAGGAAAAAAAAACAAACGCTGAATCGCTTTGTAAGCGCTTTGGGGTTCAGTGCCTTGTGGAGGGAGGGATGTAAACAGCACAGAAGCCTCGGAGATGCACGAACCTGCATTCGCGAGGTGCCATTCCACAGGCCGGGGCCTAATGGAGGCCTGCGGTTTGAAGGCGTCAGGCAAACTGCGGCATGGAAATGTAGCCTACAGCTCCCATGGTAGCGGGGGGGGGGGGGGGGGGGTGCATCGAAGTGGGATTGAGAGGCAGACTTCTTTGCAGATGTTGTTGTTCTTGACTGGGTTGGTCAGAGTTTCTGAGCTGAAAGGGCAGCTGGTGACTGTTTGATCTGAGTGCGGAGCGAGCATTCGTTACATGTCTAGAGTCGGTAAGAGAGCAGCAGTGTGTTTCACATCCGGTGTGCCCCAGATTATTCTGTTCCCCTCCCTCCACTCCCTCAGAAAATGCTGGGGGGGGGGGGGGGGTGGGGGGGTTGAGGTCTTCGTTGCGACCTTGTAACAGGGCCAGCTAGTCGCAGGCCATATGCTGCTTGGCGTAGCTTTTCAATGAGCTGGAGGGCCTGTGTGTTCCCTTGGGTCGTCTTTTCCCCTAACTACCGATGTGACAAGACCTCAGTGCAGTGCACACCGAGTTGAGAAAATGAACGTGGCACGTCTGCTTGCTTTAGGTCTGCGTTAGGATCCCAGGGCCTGTTGAGGCCGTGCGTAACAGGAGCGTCGTGAACAAGAAGACTCACAGTCACAAGCAGCTATGCCCCAACGATTCAATTCAAACATGCCCAACAACAACGACAAACTCGCAAACCATTTTCAAGGACCTTCCGAAAACTCAAGACACGACCCCCGCAGCCCTCGGCCAAGTGCCCTTTCAATCAAAGGGGCGCGGCGGCCATCATCGGGAGCAAACACTCTCCTCTGACCCAGCCGCCAGGCAGTTCGACGGGCTCATCGGCCTCTCTGAGGTTGTGGGGTCTTCTTCCCTGATTGGATTCTTCTGAGGTCTACTTGCGGTTGTGGGTACAAAAACCCACCCCGGTTTGACCCCCACTTTTCGTCGAACTAAGGGAAGTTTAATGAAGTTTACCCCGGGTGTTGCCCCCAGCTTTCTGAGAGGGGAGGTTCAAGAAAAGTTACGTACAAGTTGCCCACATCAGTGGCCATTCCCAGGAGCTTCAGCAGAGTCTTGAAAAGCTGAGAAAATTCCAGAGAGTTTGAGGCTCGCAGGAGCCCTAAACCCTGCAGACTACAAGACAAGCACCCGAACGTCCGGGGCAAAGCGCGGGGACTTTTGGCGAAGACAAGGACCCATGTGCACTTTTTGGGTGCTCGTGCAGCGGGGGGGCATCACTTGCAAGGGAACCGAAGAGGCCCAGAAAACATGATGACCGAGCAGCCGATGACGGGTGGATATAACTGGAACATAGTGGAACCAGCCCTCAAGGCAACAGGAACCACCTTTCAGGAACCGACCAGAACGTAACAAGAACGAGGGGGCACATGGAAGAGGAACTGGGGAGGCCTCTCACCACAATTCCTGAAACAGCCTGGGCCTGGCTCCTGAAACAGTTTAACTTTAACAGCCATTTCCTGAAGTTGCCGAGACAATCCTCCCTGGTGTTTCGGTTGCAGCGCTTACTCAGTTTACTCCCCGCCTTGGCCTTCTCAACCTTCTCAGCCTTCTCAGCCTTCTCCAGACCCGGTGGCGGCGGCGGCGCCTTTGAAAGGCTCCAGGGAAATCATGAGTCTCAAGGTCTTTTTTACATTTTTGTGCACAGGATGCCTGAGGCTCTCACTCTTTGCCGAGCGAATCAAATTTGCGAGCTGCTCTCACCCCCTGAAAGGCGCAACAGAGGCGCCTGCTGCGGGGGCCCCGCGCGCTGAGGTGCAGGTTTCGGCGGCGGGGGCATCTTCATCTTCGGGGGCGCAGCCGGGGGTGCGGCATCTCGAGCTGGTTCCTTGCGTTTTTTGGAGTGAGTCCAGTGAGTCAGTTTCAGGGCAGGTCGTGGAGATCTGGGAAAGCTGGGAGCTACGCATCGCAGGGATGACAGGAGCTTTCGTTGCTGCAGAGGGTTTTGGAGAAGCCGTCGTTTAAAGGGTACTTCAGGGGGTCTCATGTAGATGAGCCACTGATCAGCCCTTGAAGCAGGACTTGTTCGTGTCAGCACGTTGCCAGGGGATCAGAATGACAAAGCGAACGCGCATCATGTGTTCCATGTTTGAGTGGGCATGCGGATTCCGGAATGCTCCGGGTAGCTTCGGGAAGCGCCTCTCAGGGAAGGTCCGCAAACCCATGGCAGACCCATGCCATCCCACAGTGCTAAATGGGCATTTTTCCCCCACATGCGGCGGCGGGGAGGGTCCAACAAATTCCCCACCGAATTTTCGAGCGAACTTCTCCTTGTTCAATCCCAATCTGAGGCGCGGGGTTTGGCCGCGAGGGTGCGAGCGCTGTGCTGGACCTTCGCTTCAGGGGAGCTTGTTGGGGGTCGTGTCTTGGGGTTTAGGGTTGGGATGGGTGGGTTTCGGGTCTAATTCTTTCGTGTTCGGCTGCTGGCGCTGCTGCTGGCGCTGGCTGCAGTCAGACTTAGGAGGTTTGGAGGTCCTGTGCTGTCACCTACAGCTTTGAGCATTCAGCATAGCAGGAGTTTAGGATTGCGCTTTTTTTCGACAAGAGAGTCCACTCAAAGTCGATGACTCTGAATGTGGGATACCAGGCATCATCGTTCGGGGCTCTCTTGAAGAACTGTAGCAGCAGTAAGGCCCAAATCCTGCAAAGTACCTCAACTGCTTAAAGCTGTAGACCGACTACACTATATCAAACCTCTCAAGACGAACATCGTACAAGGCCGTAGATGAAGAGCCCGAGCAACTTTTCCACGCCGCGCTCCTTCGTTGGTGGTGGCCTGGAAGCACGAAATACTGGGACGGGGATCCTCTTGCAGTGTTTGAATGGGCTTTTGAGGAGTGGCGTCTAGGTGATGTTTTTACTGTATAGATATCTCCTGGGCAGCCCCCTTTAGTGAGCTTTGGCGGCTTGGGCATGGGGCGCGCAGTGTCAGAACCGAAGGTGACTTCCGGCGCTCAAGCCCCAAATGTGAAACCCAACAGGCTCGAAACCCAACATGCTCGATGCTGCAAGTGCTGCAAAGCGTCGGTGGGGTTTTCACCGCGATTTTGGGGGCCGCCGTGCCAGTGACGGTGGCCCCTTGCTCCTGGCGTGCAGGGACGGGGAATCCGAACGCATGGTCCCTCATTGCTTGCGGTCGACGCCTACGCTGGCACATAGGAATTGTGATTGGGATGTTCCCCCTTATACTAACAGTCCTTAATAGGGATTTTAGTACCCCCCCCCCCCCCCTAATAATCCCTATTAATAAGGAGCTGTTAGTATGAAGGGGGGAACCTCCCCCAAGATTCTAAGGGGATACTATTAGTACCCCCCCATCACAATCCCCTTTAAGGAGCTGTTAGTATAAAGGGGGAACATCCCTCAAGATTCTAAGGGTTTTTGAACCCCCTATTATAATCCCAATCAGTATAATGGGGAACCTCCCCCCAAGATGCTAAGGGGGGATGTCCCTAAACCCTAAACAAACCCTAAACCCTATACCCCAAACCCTAAACCCAATTCCTAACTCCCTAAAGCAAGATTCTAAGGGGGGATACTGGGCCCTGTCAGAGCTGAGCTCGCCTTCGCCGGGGGCATCTTGCCTCGGTCGCGTGTCGGGCTTAGGGCTTAGGGCTTAGGGCTTAGGGCTTTGGGTTTGGGGTTTAGGGTTTGGGGTTTAGGGTTTCGGGTTTAGGGTTGAAGGTTTAGGCTCGGAAGCATAAGAACAAGCTACAAACAAGCACAAAAGGAGCCGGAAGCATTAACAAAACTATAAGATGCTATAGCAACATAAAAATGGAGCCAGCGGAGCCCCTTTAAAACGGAGCTACTGGGGTCCTGGTTTCGGGCTTGGGCTCCTCCGCCAAAGCGTTGCAGCTGAACGTAAAAGACTTTAAAAGACCCCCCAAACACTGCTCTGGCCAGGAGTCATGGGGGATCCCGTAGGGGAGGATGCTCGAGATCCGCAGTCTGCCAGGCGTGCTTCGGAGCTGCCTTTGGGGCTTGCTTCCTTGGCTGGAGAGCTCTCAGAGCTTAAGAGACTTCTCCTTCTTCGTGTCTCTCTCTTCGTGTGCTCTCGGGTGCACGCGCGAGTGCGCCACTGAGACCCCAAAGCCCTTTCTAGGCTGTAAAAAGGAGCTACTGCTTCCGGCGTCGGCAGCGGCACGACATCGACGCCCGATGGATGCAGAGGTGGGGGGCACTTCACCTTTGCTTGGCTCGTGGCTTTGTTGCGGTTTGAGGGCTTGGGCTTGCGGGATTGGGCTCGCATCGTGCACTTGCTTCGCTTCCCGCCTCCAAACTTCCGAACCCTCTGAAGCCTGTACCCCTCCAAATCCGGAGCCCGAAACCTTAAACCCAAACTCAAAACCCTTTAAACCCATAAGCCCTAAAAGCCCTAAAAAGCCCTAAAAAGCCCCCAAAAAGCCCTCAGAGGCCCCTAACTCAAACCTCGGAGGCCGCGCCGAAGGGCCAGTCCAGGAGCCGGGGCTGCCGGTGGAGCCTTCTGGGCCTCGCAAACCGCTCCCGGCGCCTCCTGTGCAGCAGGGCATATAAAGGTCCGGGAGATTGTGTTAGGGATTAGGGTTCTAGATATATCTGTACATGTATATATATATATATATACGTGCATGTATATGTGTAATGTTGGACTCGCTTTCGTGCGCAGGGTCCCTCCCCCCCAAAACAATTTTCGGGTTTTCAGGGATCCTGAATAATGTGGGGTCTGGGACGGGGGCTGGGGGTAGGGCGGCTAGGGGTCGAGGGTTGAGGGGAAGCCTCGAAGCTTGAGGGTCTAAGCTTTCCAGGCTTCGTAGCTCCCTGGCCAGGGGGCTGCGGATTAACGCGGGTAACCGAAACAATTACTATAAAAGCGAATCAGGGCAGCTCGTGGGCTACTCCCTTGGAAAATTGTTTTTAAGAGGAATTAAAAAAAGCTGGACACCAAAAATCCGGAGTTCTTATTCAAAACTTTTTTAGTTTTTCGCTCCCCGGCCCCCCGCCCTTCATCCCCGGCCCGGCAACATCGCATAATCGAGGGCCACCCTCATCACAAGGGGGGTCCCCTATAAGATTTCCGGAAAAGCGCATAATCGTGCCCCTTTTCACTAAAACGGCTGCAACATTGTACATATATGCATGGATACTACATATATATATATATACATACATACGTACGGATATATCGAGAATTGCATGTAAGCATAGCTGTAGGTATGGTGCCCCAAAGGCCGCTCTGAACATTCTTGAAGAGCCAATGTCGGTCCAAGGGGGTGCAAGGGGTCATCCCAACCCCCCCCCCCCCCCCCCCTTCCCGGGTTTGAAGGGCTTTTGGAATCCTTCAGGACCCACATGCGGGGCCTGAGTGATTTTTTGGAATCCTTCAGGGCCCACATGCGGTGGCTGAATGATTTTTTGGAATCCTTCACGGCCCACATGCTGGGGCTGAGTGATTTTTTGGAATCCTTCAGGGCCCACATGCGGTGGCTGATGATGTTTTGGAGTCCTTCAGGGCCCACATGCGGGGGCTGAATGATGTCTTGGAATCCCACATGGGGGGGCTGAATGGGGGGCTGAGTGATTTTTTGGTGTCCTTCAGGCCCCACATGCAGGGGCTGAGTGATTTCTTGGAATCCTTCAGGGCCTACATGCGGGGCCTGAATGACTTCGTGGAATCCTTCAGGGCCCACATGCGGGGGCTGAATGAAATTTTGGAATCCTTCAGGGCCCACATGCGGGGCCTGAATGATTTCTTGGAATCCTTCAGGGATCACATGCGGGGGTTCAATGACTTTTTGGAGTCCTTCAGAGCCCACATACGGGGCCTGAATGACTTTTTGGAATCCTTCAGGGCCCACATGCGGGGGCTGAATGACTTTTTGGAATCCTTCAGGGCCCACATGCTGGGGCTGAATGATTTTTTCCACATGCGGGGGCTGAATGATTTTTGCAATCCTTCAGCACCCACATGGGGGGCCTGAATGACTTCGGATAATTCAGGGCCCACATGCGGGGGCTGAATGATTTTTTGAATCCTTCAGGGCCCACATGCGGGGGCTGAGCGACTTTTTGGTGTCCTTCAGGCCCCACATGCGGGGCCTGAATGATGTTTTGGAATCCTTCAGTGCCCGCATGCGGGGGCTGAATGACATTTTGGAATATGCGGGGCCTGAATGATTTTTTGGAATCCTTCAAGGCCCCCATGCGGGGGCTGAATGATTTGTTGGAATCCTTCAGGGGCCACATGCGAGGCCTGAATGATTTTTTGGAATCCTTCAGGGCCCACATGAGGGGCTGAAGTCAGGGCCCACATGCGGGGCCTGAAGGATTGTTTTTTTTACCCCAGGGCCCATATGCAGGGCCTGAAGCATGTTTTGCAATCCTTCAGGGCCCGCATGCGGGGCCTCAAGGATTTTCTCCCTCACACCCCTCCCCCGTCCCAGTACGATTTGTTGCGGGCAAGGCTGGGTTAGTCAAACGGAACATGCTGGCGCCTTCTTCATCTCGGCCCAAGGACAGGGAGCCAGGGCCTCCGTTCAGCGGGTTCTGCATGGTGTTGGAATGGGATTCTGAGGGTTTGTAGGGTTGAGAGGGTTTGTTTTGAAGGGGGTTTGCAGGGTTTGGTGGGTAGGGTTTAGTAGGGTTTTGGGGGGAGGGTCTAGTCGGTTTAACCCCAAACCCTAAACCCTAAACCCTAAACCCTAAACCCTAAACCCCAAACCCTAAACCCTAAACCCTAAGGGTCGGAAGGAGGCGGCTCCAAGACCTATAGCTTGCCGACATGCTCCCAAACGCGCTTGATCCCCATGATGCGAACAAGGGAACAGGAAGAGAACTTTCCCTAAAAAGCAAGGGGTTTAGGGTTTAGGGTTTAGGTTTTAGGGTTTAGGGTTTAGAGTTTAGGGCTTAGGGCTTAGGGCTTAGGGCTTAGGGTTTAGGGCTTAGGGTTGACGGAAGAACTTTCCCACTGATGCGCCTGCTTTTTTGTGCTCTGGTGTGCCTTGCATCGTGCACACTCCCGGGGCCTTCTTCAGGGGAGCGGCGAAGCCCGCGCCCGCGGGCGCGCTCGATTTCGGGGGCGGCTTCGGCCTCCTTGGGAATGCTACGCATGGGGGACGAGGGAGGAATAAGAGAGAACACAGCTCCCTCAAGAGTTTGAGTATTGGGGCAAGCCCTGAACCCCAAACCCAAAACCCTATAAACCCTAAACCCCAAACCCGAAACAGGTTGCTGGCCTCAACACGTATATAAAGCACACACATGGGCGGAAATATGTTTTGCTAGATCGGCTCAAGCGGCACGGGCGGAGCTGCTTTCGAGCCAGGAAGCGCCCACGAGGCGGCCTTTGCCAGGGCTCTTTTGTAGGGTTTGGGGTTTAGGGTTTAGGGTTCAGGGTTCAGGGTGTACTACTCTAAAATAATCGCTCTGGGTGCTCTCAGCAGTTCAAAGACAAAGAAGTAGATGCTGGGGTTGTTGAAAAAACCAAGGGCCGTTTGGTGGCCCTTTCAACGTTGATAAAGTTATAAGGTTCTTAAGGCTTTAGGGTTCATGGTTTGCGTTTAGGGTTTAGGGAGAGGGGTTTGGGGTGGTATACCCAGGGAACCTTAGGGAAGATTAGGGAGCCTTAGGGAGTAGGGAGCATCGGGCAGCCTTGGGTTACATGCCCCCCCTCCCTTTAAGAACCCTGTCATAAAGGCTTGAGAATTCAGATGCAGACTCAGCCACCTCGCCAGGGCGATCCCGCCATGCTTTGGCCTGGAGAGTAGGTGTCAAAATGCTCCGAGGGACACTTTAAAAAGCCACTGCCGACATCACCCAAGGTGATTTTGAGCCCCTGGAGCTCGCATTTCCTGCAAAAAAGACAGAAAAAAAAAAGGAGCCCCCGAAGACCAACCCATGACACCTCCGCCCTCCAAAACCCCAAAAAGGGCACAACGCGCACCGCCCCCGCCTCGGGCGGGACTTTTGTCTCCTCTCCAGGCAGTGGTGTAGCTAGACAGATATGTATTTCTCATGTGACGTTCAAAGAGCCATATTATGTACTATTGCATAATAAAAGTATGCCGTAAATGAAATTATGTAGGGCTTGGGAATTTTGCAGGGCACCTATATGCTTAAAAAATGCGTGACAAGGCGCGGCGGGGAGGCGCTGCCGGCGAGGATAGGTCAAGTGCACCATGGCGCAGTGCGCGCCGTGAGCGTAGTCGCACCGGGTGGCGGAGCAAAGGCCTGCGTTAGGGTTTAGGGTTTAGGGTTTAGGGTTTGGGGTTTAGGGTTTAGGGTTTAGGGTTTGGGGTTGGGGGTGTAGGGTGTCTATTTCTAGGATGATGCGGAGCCACGCGGCTTCTTCTCAACATGGTCATATTCGGTACAACTGGTGGCAAGCAGAATTTAAACAGTGCTTGCTACATAAGACAATGAAAAGTATAAATGTAGAATATACATATATATATAAATATGTATATGAAACTAGATTTCTTCATTCATGTATTTATCGATGCTCGTGCCAGCTGGCAATTTGCAGCTGTGCAGCGAAAACTCCATCAGATGCAAAGGCCGCCAAGTGAAGGCCCTCGCAAGTTTGGCAAAGGCCCTGAACTCCTGTCGACTCAAGCCTGGAATCCTAAACCCCCTAAGACCTAAACCCTAAACCCTAAACACTAAACCCTAAACCCTAAGCCCTAAACCCTAAACCCTAAACCCAAAACCCAAAAGCCAAGACCCTAAGTCAACTCAGGCGACCTGACCCTTCCCTGCGCCTGAATCTGGGCTCCAAATCTCGCAGATGGCCTTCTCCGAAGTGTTCGCCATCTGATGTCCTCTCTGCATCCAGAGACCCCTGGGAGGATCCAAAAAGGTAGAGCCCCCAAATAGTACCCTTGTACTCTTGGGTCATTTTTAGGACCCTTAAGGGGATCCCATCCCTCTACTACTATTGGGGTCATTTTTAGGAACCCTTAAGGGGATCTACTTTTTGGACCTTTTTAGGGGGGTCTGGGCCACGGTCGCTGGCGGATAGACGCGCGACATAGCAATCGCCGATCCGAGGCAAGACCAGACTCGAACGAACGGCCCTTTAACCTCCCTGTACTACAATGAAGCTTAAGACTTAATATCTAATGCCTAGGAAATTCTAGGAATGCATGGAAACCCCCCTTGAGACCGAGACAAAGAGCCCAGCGTGGAAAACGAGAACGCGCCAAGTCCTTCGCCAACACTGCGCCGAGCCTCGTGCATCTTCTGCCTTAAGAAACGAGAGGGGTTCAGGGTTTAGGGTTTGGGGTTTAGGGCTTTTCCTTTGCTTGGGCGGACTTGCCAGGTTTTTGGCGGAGCGCGAAATCGCGCGGGAGGTCTTCCTCTGAGAGCCCTGGGTCCCCTTTGGTCTGTGCCGGTGTGGCGCGGAGTTTCGGGGAGGACCGGGGGGGTTTAGGGTTTAGGGTTTATAGGGTATAGGGTATAGGGTTTAGGGTTTAGGGCTGTGGGACTCCCAAGTTGCTCAGCTTGAACAAGGAGGCCATCCGGATCGGAGATCATGTTGGTCTCCTTGGAAGGCAAAAAGGGTGCAGATGCATGGGCACGGATTTGGGGGACTTCCGAAATTAGAGGTACCTCACTGGAGGGGGCCTTATGATAAGGGGATCCTACTGTACGATTTGGGCGTCTATTTTAGGGGGTCGCCCTATGTTCGCAACCCTCTCTTTTTTTCAAATTCAACTCAGGACTCAGGGCATCCGACTCCTCAATCCAACAAGCTCCAAGGAAGCTGAAACTTTGAAGATGACTCTTAACAACTTTTGCGGTTCTTTTGGCAGGGCTCAGGGGCATTCTCAAGCGAAACTGGAAACCCTATGGCAGCCCAAGCCAATTATGGTGCCCTAAACCCAAAAGCCTGAAACCCGAACTCTGCCACTTGCGGCCGCGTCGCCAGGCGCAGCCAAAGGGGCACGTACTTTAAGCGGCCGAGGCTGTCTCGCCTCCGTCAATTTCTTTTTAAGGGGTGGAGGGTTTTTGAGGGTCTCGGGTTTTCGGGTTTAGGGTTTCGGGTTGCCAGTTGCGAGCGGTGGAGTCACGGAGGCTCGTGGCGCTAAGGATTGGTGGACGTAAGGATGTGGTGTCTTGTTAGTTAAGTTTCAACTGAACCTCTCTGCAAGCGAGATGCAGCGTGGCAGGATATCGCGGGTTCCACGCCTGAACTCCGGGACTTCGTTGAGCGGGTGGGTACCCCAAACCCTAAACCCTCATGAAGGCAGTGATTCGCTGCTATATACATGTGGACGGGGGGGACATGTTGCGAACCTTCCTGCGTTATTCGTCACCCGTCGCCTGGCACTCCGCAGCACGAGCGTAGCGAACAGAGGGGATGCAATTGGAATGGGGAGTAGCTCGGACAACGCTTAGATGGGGAGAACTGATAAGGGCCAGGGGACACTAATTTGGCAACTTCGACCCCTGATTTTTGTTGGCGTCTTTTTTGCTGGCAAAAGCTCCGAGGGTTTTCTAGCCGAGCAGCCACACCCTTCAGGATGTCCACAGCGCCCTCTCGGGTGATGAAATTGTGGGAGAGGTGCAGCTCATTCAGCGGATGCTCCTCCGGCACTACAGACATCCGCAGAGAACCCGATGCTCACATGCAAAGTTGCGTGGAGGTGGCAACATGCTAGGATGCCAAATTCTAACGAAAAAGTCGAAAAGGAATGCGGTGCCCAACTCCGGCTAAGAGGCCGTCTGGCCCAAGAAATGCATGAGGGTCTGGCCCGCCGCTCTTCCGAGGTGATTCCTTCAAAGGGGCCGGAACTGTCTCACATCTTCCGGAACCTGGAACCTATGCTGGGCAGCAACCTTTCAGACTGAGACAGGAGAGCCCGGCTCAGAATCTTGAAGCAATCCGACGCCGAAGAAAATTTCTGAGAACCCTGGAGCCTAGAGAGGGGGCCTCCGAAGTCTCCCTTACTGTGGAGGGACACTACAAGGTATCTATAGGTATTGTATTTGGGGTGGGGGGGGGGGGGGGGGGGGGTGGCTCCCAAGTCTGCCCTTACTTCGCTGGCGCCTGTGCAGCTTCAGCTTGTCAGCGCCTATGCGGAGCCTCGTCTGAACGACTCGCACACAAGCTCTTCAGGAAACGGGGGGGGCTTTGTCGGAAGCAGGGGGGGGGGAGGGGGCGGGGTTTCCATCAAAACGGGGGTGGGGGGGAGTTGGGCTGATCATTCTCCTGAGGGTTTTGGCGTTCGGTTCCCCCAGAAGTTGTCGATATCTGAAGGTCTAAACCTCCCCGGCTTTAAGTCGGGAAGTTGGGGATCTTGTGGGATCCTTTCAAGATCCCTTAAATGGGCAGGGAGCAGACAAGGCAAATTTTCCGAACCCGAGTCCCTCATCCAACTTCCCTCACAAACCTCCAACACCGACAGCTACCGGCCGGCCCTCGCAAGCGCTGTATCCTGCACCCTGCGACAGGCCACTGCTGCAAAAACTGCAAAAGTCGCGGCGCGTACTTCACGCCAGGGAGCTCAAAGAGAAGCGACAGGAGACTGTGACACCCTGGGGCAGTGTTTCTTTTTTTGTAGCAGGTCAAGGTTGATGGCTGACTTCTTGCCTCGGGTCATTCGGGCGAACCTGAAACGAGCGTCAGTGCTTCTGGGTAGCTTACTGTGAGACGTCCCATGTGATCCGGAGAGCAATTTAAAGCCCCATGTGATCCGGAGTGCAAGAAGCGCCTTTGTCTCCGATCTTGTTGCCGGAGAAATCAACGACGCACGCTGCTATCAGGGTGTCCTGTTGCTTCGAAGTTGCTTCAGGTTCAGAGCTTCCAATGGAAGTGCTTTCGCTGAAGCGGCGCAGGCCTCCGAAGAGCTGAGAAGTGAACGAACCTAACAAGATCCTTGGCCCTTCCAAGACCTTGAAGCCCACGATCTTACTAATACCAGCTAAAAGGGCCGATCTGAAAGAACTGGTACTCCGGATCTGCGTCCACATCATACCCTGAAATTGAAGCTTCGAGTCTTGCTAGGAAGCCTCCATTCCCTCTTCCCTACTTGAAAGGTCCTCAGCCGGTTTTCTGAGCTGCTTCTCGTGAACCTTGGGGGCAACTCCAGCCCTCTTCAGCAGAGGACCACACCTATGACTCTGAATTGCTCCATTCTCTCTGGGTACCGTCGCTCAGCCTATTTCGTGACGCGATCTGAGTGGCGAAGGCTGGGACGGCTTGACTGGCCCATTGGCACCACCGCAATGCGCCTGCGGAGCTCCACTAAGAGCTTCAACAGCACTGGGGGTTTAGGGTTTAGGGTTTAGGGTTTAGGGTTTAGGGTTTAGGGTTTAGGGTTTAGGGTTCGGGTTTAATAAAAACTGCCTGTAAAGAGGCCCTAAGCCTTATGGCTAAGTCTTTGGGAGGGGCGCGCAGTTCTAGGCAGAGGGGTTCTCAGCTCGTTCACAGAGAGCCGCTAAGTCGCTCCCTCAATGCCTGACTCCGCATCTGCTGGGTGCCTGCGTCGTCCATGTCCTTGTCCTTCCTGGATCATGAGGTGCTCGCATCTATGGCTTGAACTTGAGGGTGTTGAGACGTGGGAAGCTTAGATAGGTCAGACACGGTTCCCTAAGCCCTAAGCCCTAAACCCCAAACCCCAAACCCTGAACCCCTACATTCATGGAGGATTTGGTGCGCTGGGGAGTGCTGATGAGATTAACCAGAGTTTCGCTGGGCCCTTCGTTTTCGGGGGTTCCTATGGTGAGGATTCGGTGTTTGAACTATTTTTGCTTTTTTTGGGAACGGAAAGGGGGGGCGGGTTATATTAGGGGCACCTCTATGTTTTTTGGAAATGCCCAGATGTCGAGGCCTCTTAGATGGCAACTCGAGAGAGACTTGGAAAGGCCTCTCCCCCCTTGTTGACAATCCGAGGGTTGGGGTATTCCGAGTTTTGGGAGTTGGGATGATCCCCCTTATACCAACAGTCCTTTTTAGGGATTCTAGTACACCCTACTATCATTCTTATTAAGGGCTGTTCGTATAAGGGGAAAGCATCCCAAGTTGGGAGTGCAGTGCAGGGTTTTTTGGGGGATCGCTCATGCTTCGATGTGCCCTTGTCGGAGGCAAGTGGCCATGTGATCGCAAGTCGCCTGCTCTGCAGGCTCAGCGATTGGCTGAAATCCATGGCGCTCAGTCTTGGGCTTTCGCCTGTGTCTAGAATGGTCTCCCGAGTCAAGGTTGCACCTTCGGGTAGCTATGCTGTGAGACCAGTTACGACACGCCTGAGCTACAAGGTTTCCAGTTCATACGCATGCAGGACCGCACAGGCCTCGACATGTAGTGTTTGTCCAAGCCGTCGCTATTGCTATGAACACACGAAGCACTCGACTTTGCGCTTTGAAAGCTGCAGGCTCCAGGGTGCAAAGCAAAAATGGCTCGACTCCAATGGCACTCTGCTATCAGGAAAGCTGGCTTCTGCCTTCAAGCTGATATCAATTTTGAGGCGTCGAGAGGCTTTTCGGCTGAGGTCTCAAGGATGCACGAGAGGCCAAGGCGAAACTTGCAAGTTTAATATGGCTTCCGACAATCGCGTCCTGATTCTTTGGTGTCTTGCCTCCATATCCCCCATGTTTCTTTGAACGTCTTACAAGCCCTACACTGTGGCCCTAAACCCTGACGGGGTGTAGGGTTTAGGGCTCAGGACTTCAGGAGCCGAGGCGGCAACCCATCTCACTTGCGATGTGCCTCGGCGGGTCGACTGCTTCGGTTGACATAGGGGTTTCCCTTGAAAAAAGGGGGGCACCCTTTCCGGTGGGTCACTAGAATAAGGACTCTAGTATTTTGGGGCGTGTCTTCGTGGGGTGTGCTCCTATTTTTGGACATGCCCACATGCTGAAACCATGCGATCCCCAAACCAGCTCAACCAGCTAAACTTTGAACCCAAAGTTCCTTTCTGAGAAAGAAACCCACCATCCGCTACTGGCAAGTGCTTGTCACACGAAGTACTCCCGTGACCCTAACCCCTAAGCCCTATATGTGCGCGCTGCAGATGATGGCATGCAAGACAAAAGTGGAGCGTAGGGCTCTGGTCAAGATGGCGACCTGGAAGCTACTGGTCAAGCAAGTACAAGGGCGTCTTCCAAAAAATAGAGGGGTGGCCTTTTAGGGGTGTTCCTTGAAACACGGGATTCTTGCATTTCGGGGAATGTTCTATGGACATACTCCGCTTTTGGACCCGACTCCTGTGGTGTCTATGCATCGGAACCCCTCCCCCTCCCCCCCAAAACCCCAAAAGCCCTAAACACACCCCTAACCCCTGGAGTTGAGGTTTTAGGGTGTAGGGTTTAGTCTAGGGTTTAGGGTTTAGGGTTTAGGGTTTAGGGTTTAGGGTTTAGGGTTTAGGGTTTAGGGTTTAGGGTTTAGGGTTTTAGGATTTAGGGTTTAGGGTGCAGGGATATACGCTCTAAACCCCTAAACCCCCAACCCCCAAATCACCCCCTCCAGGGCTTCGGGCGCAAACGAACCATGGTCCATCCTGTGCCTTGTAGTCCTTCAAAACAAAAGGAGCTTCAGGTAATTAGGGTTTAGGGTTTAGGGTCCAAGGAGCTTCGGGCTACAGCTGTTTTGGGGGTTTAGGGGGCCTAGGGAAGTTTTCCGGGTTTAGGGGTTCAGGGTTTGGGGCTTCAGGGTTCGCTGTGTGATTCTCGAGGGCTTGCTCTTGCTCAGGGTACCTGTGGGCACTTTGTGCCATGTTTAGGGCTTCGTTTTCGGGTCGCGGGGGGGGGGGGGGGTCAGGGGGGTCGGGGGGTTGTAGCAATGCATTGTGACCAAGGTTATGGCTTCCTTTTTGTGGAAGCTTTCCTTGAGGTTGCGCCCTCTAAGCGCATTTCCTCAAAAGGAGTGGAGGAGCAGTTCCAGCACAACGAATGCCCTCCACGGTGAACCCAGACCTCATCCAGGGATTCGAACAAGCACTCCTTCTCTCAAGTTCGGCCTTCCTCATCCCTCCTCATCCCGAAGCCCTGGCAACACTAAACCCCTGAACGCCAAACCCCTGAACCCTAAACCCCCTGAACTCGCAAAACCCCTGAAAAAGCCCATGAACCCCTAAACTGAAGTCTGCGGAGAACAGAGCCGTCCTTGAAGCAAATCTTGTCAAAGCTGTGGGGCCTCAGCATGCCCCATTCCCACTGCACCCCGGTCCCACGGGGGGGGGGGGGGGGGGGCTCTCAAGCCTCAGCATGCCCCATTCCCACTGCACCCCGGTCCCACGGGGGGGGGGGGGGGGCGGGGCTCTCAAAGACCCTTCTTCGATCGAAGTATTCAAGAATCATATTTCTGGTGTAGAATCAACTAGCTGCAGTGTTCTTCAAGGGTTACCCGAAACCCAAGGGCACAGACGTAGGGGCCCCCCCCCCCCCCCCCCCGGAAGCTGGATTGAAAACCCGTATGGAACCATCCAACACCATATGAAAACAGTCACACGCCCCCAAGCTTTCTGTACCTTGAACCGCGACCCAACATCTGTGGGAACGGGCCGAGGCCTTTGCAAATTGACACCCTGGTGCCCTAAACCCTAAACCCCAAACCCGAAACCCTAAACCCTAAACCCGAAACCTCTTTTTTTTGGGCCCCCTGGCTTGCACTCTGGCGGTAGCTCTGGCTTGATGGCCATGGTGTCCTTGGGCTGCTGCTAACGGTACCCTAAACCCTAAACCCTAAACCCTAAACCCTAAACCCTATTTTGGGCAAACACCCTTACTTGGAGGTTCATGGTACTTAGCAACCCAACTATAGCTGTGCATAGAACCCAACTATAACCCCATATTGGGGTACTTAAGGGGCTTATCATGTGGGCTAGAAGTGCACTTATACTATAGGTACCCCAATATGGGTGTCAGTACAGCTAGAAGTACCCTAATATGGGCATAGGTACAGTTAGAAGTACACTGATAATTGGTTCCTAAGTACCCTGAACCTCCAAGCATGGCAAACCAAACAAGCGTCGTCGGCACCGGCCGCAGCTCGGTCGCCGATTTGCTTCCTCCCGGGTTTAGGGTTTAGGGCTTAGGGTTTAGGGTTTAGGGTTTAGGGTTTAGGCTTTAGGGTTTACGGGTTGAAAAAGGTTGCCTCATCCGAACACCCCCCCCCCCCTCCCCCATAAAGATTGCCCAGTGCTTCGGGATCATCCCCGTGCGATATGTGGGACGGCACTGCGCGCGAAGAACAGGGCTCAGTTGCACATGCATATAGGTAATAGTAACTTAAGAGGCAAATATGCATATCTAAACCTAAACACATGAATAGATGAAAAAACCAATAAGTACGTAAACTACATTCACATACATTCGTGTATATACATACATATATATATATATACGCTGCATACAAATCGACGTAGCTATAGGCATGCTTGTCGACGAGCCCGTTTCATGGCAACTATACACATAAGCGCTAGACTCGCTAGACATGTGGGGGGTTTACGAGAACTATGGGACCCCTAACATAGATCCCCAAATAGGAGGATTCCCTTATATCAGGACCCCAAGAAGGTACCCCTTGAAACCCCCATGTAGACATAGGATTGGCCTTAGAAGATCCCCAGCCTGATGAAGGATTTCTCAGAGGCGGCTGCCGAGAAGCCCTGTGGTGCCTCGAAGACACAAGTGGGTTCACTTAATCTACAGGGTTCAACTACGTGCCATGATACGTAGCTGTTGTTGGTACCGCTTACAAAAGGTACTGTTGCCCCTGGCCCCTTAGACATCAACCCCGCCAAAGCCAAACTGACGCACGACTTTCTGGAACTGCCTTGTCGTGCTTCCCCTATACTGCCTCGGGAGCTGTTGATTCTCCTGAGGCCCTCTGCCCAACCGCGCCCCCAGAAATCCGACTTCCGAAGGCCTTTCGCTGGCGCTGGCCGAGGTTCACCACCTTCGAATCTTGGATCTGGGGGGGAGCGCCTAACCCCTAAACCTGACATCCTGAACCCTAAGCCTTTTGGGTTTTTCGTATTTTGTGAAGTTCTTAGCCCCCTGAGCCTCTGGTCTCCTCCACATGACCTCTTGGCCGTTAGGTAGAGAGAGATTCTTTTCATGGCTCTTCAGAAGCTCCAAGGGGCTTTGAATTTGAGGATGCTGGATCCTCAGGCACTCCGCAAAGGGCCAGGGCATTCTTAGTGAAAGAGCGGGGGGGGTTCTCTGCATCAGGGTCCCCTTTATGGGGTCGGTATGGATGCCGTCCTATAAGGGGACTCAAAAGGGGACCCCAATTGAGAGAACTTCCCCCCTGCACCTGACGGGATGCGCTTGGGTATGACTGGATATTCCTCTGTTAAGCTCGGGTTTTTGCAGAGGTCAGAGCAATGCGAGAAGTCGGGTGCTGGAGAGGACAAGAGGGGGCGATGCACTGAATGCCCAGCCCCACCCACCCCACCCAGGCTCACCAAGATTTGCTCCGGCCTCAGTTGTCTGGAGATCGAAGTCCATGGGCCTGCTTCATCGCAATCCCCCAATCCTACACTTGACATGCCC